AGAGAGAGAGAGAGAGGGAGGGAGAGGGAGAGAGAGAGAAAGAGAGAGAGAGACAGAGAGAGAGATACACAGAGAGAGAGATACAAAGAGAGAGATACAGAGAGAAAGCGATTGGGTGGGTTTGGCGGGAAAAGACAGTACTTAGAATATCATATTGTAAAACAGCAATACATTCATGTTAATGAAAATGGAAATGCCACAAAAAAGACGCAATAAAGCAAAAGGATTGCTCACAGATATGAGACAATTGTCACGGAGGAGTTACATTCCTCCATCTCCTGCCAATTGCCTCAATATCTGGAGTAAAGTTGACGCGACCATCTGATTGGCTTATTTCTGCGAGACATGAAGCCGTGTGGTTTCTGTTTTGTCCTCTCTCGCCTGGAGTGTGTGACGTCAGGGCGGCGGGGGCCTCGGTATTTGAACACCTGCTCTTCGCCCTGGGGGTCGCTGGCAGCACGGGAAAATGAAGATTTACCTGATGCCTCCTCATATTTGCCCTGTGTCTTTTTACCGTCTGTGTAGGAAACGGGTTTACGATCCGGCAAAAAGGAGTTCACGTTTTTCTCTTCCTTCAGTTCCGACTGTACTGGTTTGGTTTTGGCCTGTTGTTTAGGTTTCCAATTGTCTTCGCTTCCCGATTTGTCCGTCAGTGGCTCTAATTGTGTTTCAACGTTGGCTTTTGGTTCTTGAAATAGATACTTGAGGTCTTCTTTGGTGCTCTCGTCTTTCTCTGAGGTGTCGTAGTCTTGAGTGAACGTCCGGGTTCTTCTGACACTCTCCAGCGACTTGGCGAGAACAGAGCCGTACATTTGTTCAAACTTCTGTCCGTCATAAGGCTTGTACTGCGCCAGGAGATCCTCCTCGTTGAAAAAATGTTTCTTTTCTTTCGGTTGTAAGTCTTGCTCCAACTGCTCCTGCTTGTAGAAATCGGATGCCGATTTGGGTTTGACAATTTGATCGACATTGACCTGCTCTTCGTAATCAGGACTTGACTGTGAGAACGGTTTTTTGTACCATCTCTTGTTTTTGGGGATCTTGGGTATTTTGGCTAAACCTTTGTTGGACACCTTGTTGTCGTAATCATTGACAGGCTCCTCAATATCTCCTTTCTGCTTCACGGGCTCTTCATAATCTGCATAGTAATCCTTTTGCTGATAATCCTCTTTGTTCTCTGTCTTAGGTTCCCATTTCTTATTTTCTACTTCTTTACTCCCTCGAGAATCTTTACCTTTCCAATCCTCCCCCACAGTATAGTCGTCCTTGTAGTCACCCACTTTCTCTTCCTGACCATACAACGGTTCCTTTTCCTCTTCTTTCTTCTCAACAGACACTAGCTTATCGTTGTCAACTGTTTTCTGTTTCTTGGAGATGATAATTTCTTCACTTCCTGTCGGCCCGTCGTAGTCTTTGGAGTCTTCATATTGCGGAATTTCTTCATACTCTGGCGCATACTTCTCTATCACTTTTGCCTCTTCGTCCTTTTTGAACCACAAAGAAGGCTGGGTAGGTGCAGTCTTTTCTACCACGGGTTTGAAGTCGCCTTTGGAGATTTCCTCAGACTTCTGACCGTTTCCATACTGCCCGTTGTTTCTCTTGAACCAAAGCTTAGGCGTATCTGGCTGTCTGAGAGGCTCACCGTATTTCCTGATGTTCTTATTCCTCACAACTACAGGCTCATACTCGTACCTCTGAATCGGTGGACTTTGACTTTTAGAGTACCTGTAGTTATTGTCCTGTTTACGGTCGGTACTTTTGTACCCTTTTTCAAACCATTTGCTGGGTTGACGCTCAGGCTTAGGTTTATAGAACGGCTTCCTGGTGTAATACCCGTCGCCAGGTCCTTTGAGACTACTCTCAGATTTCGATCCACCCCCACTTTTTCTCTGCTGATTGTCTGCCCCATAGTCAAGGTATTCCCGCTCCTCGTCGTAAGAACTAGAGTCCTCTCCGCTCTCCGCCCGGTAGCTGAAACTGCTCATGGGTCCGATGTCGCTGTTGTCAAACCAGTGAGCTGACCTGAAGTTTGAGCTTCTGATTCCCCCATGAGGTAGTCTGGAGTCAGCAGACTTGTCTTGACTCCAAGGCTGGAAGGGATTCCCACCTGGTCCTGCCTGGTACCTCGCCGGTCCCGCCCCTGTATCTGTCTTCCCTTGCTGTCCGTTGTTTTTGTGGAACCTTTGAAGATGTTTGTTCTCGCCGGCGCCGCTTGAGTACTGGCCTGGATTGCCCATTGCTTCCACAGGCATGGGGTTCAGATCCCCGTTCTGAGCGTCATTGGGGTCGTGGTCGATGAATCGGCGACAGTAGCGGGCAACCACCAACTGAAACCAGAGGATTGTTTACATATTATATCTACATTTTTGTCTTCTCAAATTGTTGGACTTTACTTTGCCCCCCCCCCCCCCACCATTTCCTTCTCACTCCTTTTCCTATTAGCTTGTTTTCGAAACAATCTAAATTAGAACAGTCATTAACATAAAATAGTATCATGAAGATGGCTAAATTATATTGAAAAGAAAGCAATTGAAAAAGTGAAACGAACTTTATTTATTTCCGACGAATATTTGATCTTGTCGAGTAAGAAGGTGCAATGTCTTAAAATCGCCCAAGGTAGCCAAATTTAATGAGTAACCTATTCGACATTTGAACCACACCCAACCCAGCATGATACCAGTTTAAGCTAACGATGAAATCCCCTTTCATGAGGCGTGTACTATTTCTGTCTTTGTCATTGTAATTGTTCTACGACACAATTTTGATATTTAGGAAGCGGGCTGCTACGACCTTGACTGTCTAAGCAAACTCGGGCCGAGCAGCATACAAGATCCTACTAGAAAGACGGACATACTTATTCAATTAATACTTCCCACTGTGGAATCGAATCTATGTCTCGTGTGTGCTACAACAAAGAGCCTAACATTTACACACGAGATGCGGCAGCACAACTTTCATTGTGACGTTTAAGAGAGAGGTGTGAATGAAAGGAGGTCTACAGTTTCTTACGTCATCAAGATATCCCTGGTACATCGATTCTCTCTCCAGGGGGTCAGCTCCGATGGTCAATGGACACGATGTCTTCTGGACTGGACCTGGAACGAGATGACGGGGCAACATATTATATTTTGGGGAGACACTGTAGAAGCTCTTATTCTTACTGGAAAGCCTGCCACACTGAAATAAATACTAAACCCGTGTGATTTGGGATATCTGTTATCCTCCATCATTATTATCATTAGCATCGTTGTTATGCAAAAATAAAACATTGCGAAAAATAGATGAAGATTGCAAAATTGAGATTTACTTTATAACAGTATAGGGGTCCAACGTTTCACCCTTTCAGGTCTTAATCAAGACTTGGTATGTTTAACGTACACTTGAGATTTAGAACATTCAGAAATGAAAAAGTAACACCAATGTTTCTGCACGTTGCGTCCCAGGAGCTCTCTTAATTAGTTATTCCTGGTCAACAAAAATTGCAAATACATCAACGTCTGTTTTAAACATCGTTATGTTGTCACACAAAGATGTGTGAGTATATACATTTGTATATGTGAGTGTGTTTTTGTGTGGATGTATATGTTTGTGTACGTGTTTGTGTGTGTGTTTGTGTGTGTGTGCGTGTGTGTGTGTCTGTGTGTGTGTGAGAGAGAGAGTGGCTTTCTTTGCTTTTTGGTTGTTTGCGCGTGTGTGTTAATATATATGAGTACATGTGTGTATATGTGTATGCACATGACGTGGAAATTCCTTGACAGCGTAAAAATGAAGTCTATTTTAGTGACATGATCCAAGGTGCGATATTAGTGGCGTGTTACCTGAAAAGTCCTGTGAGATGATGCACGGGTGACCGTCAACTCTCATGAGCAGCGTGCCGTCCTCGTAGATGAGAGACACTGTGTGCCAGTCGTAGGCGCCCTGTCGAAGGAACGGACAGAAGGGACAGTGTGAGATCTTACACTGTTTTCAGAACTACATTGTATTTAGGTTGTCAATAACACCATTTGGTTATACAATACATAGCCCTTTTAAACGCTTTGACTGAATTTATTAAAACAATACTATATTGCTGCTGTCGCCAAAATGCCTTAAGACTGTATACGTGGCTGACCTGATATAATGTATGGTATTTTCGAAATTTGATTTTGGCCTTCTCAGATATTGCAGGATCTAATGAAAATGAGGCCCTCTATACATTACTGACGTTGACCTTATTATTCTCTAAGTCTTCCTACTAACATTCAGTAACATCACGGCAAACAACCAGAACGACAACACTGACAATAGCAAAAACATCAACCGCCACAGCAAAAACAACAGTAGCAGTTATACTACAGTTCATCAATATAAGAACATTGCAACAGCAACAACAATACCAACAAATTATAAGAGCAACTTTACTCACCACAGTAGAAAAGACAACAATATAAGACAATACAACCTTAACTGATAAACAACAACAACAACAACAACAACAACAACAACAACAACAACAACAACAACAACAACAACAACAACAATACAACAACCACGCAACAATATGAGAGCAATCAATTATCATCATCATCATCATCATCATCATCATCATCATCATCATCATCATCATCATCATCATCATCATCATCATCAATATCAACTACAACAACAACAATACCAGAATCACCACTACCAAAAACAGCAACAACACACCAAAAACATATCGAACAGAAGGAAAGCCTACCAATGGTCGCTGACAAACAATAGCTTTCTTAGCGCTGGCAGTCTCAAAAGCCAGAAGGTAGGATTGGTCCACAGGCCTGTAGCCGATGGCGAGGGAGGGCGTGGTGTACCCGGGGATGGTCACGTTACAGCCGTTGGACAGGAAGATCTGGTAGTTGTTCTTGTTGGCTGGGTTGTTCGTCATTTTGAATTTGAATTCGACACGAAGAGAAGTGCCCATTTCGTTTCCTAGATATAAAAGTAATATTAATTTTTTGTTGAAAACTACACGAGGAAAACGGCATCAGTCAAAGGAAAAATATTGACGAATACTGCTTTTCTTTCCCTTGTTATACAAAAGTTTAAAAAACCCAAAAAAACAACAACAACACAGATAGACACATTTTTGGACACAACTGTAAGCCATAATCATCTTCATCATCAATTGCCAGATCTGCGATAGACATCGCGATCATGGTTCTCCATTGATTCCTTTGCTCGGAAGCTCTAAAAAAAAAGCTACCTTTCCCTGATCTTTCCCTGTTACCCATTTGTTCAGGTTCCCTTAGTAGGTTGTTCTGGGCCTACCCCTTCCTCGCTTGCCTCCAATTTTGCCAGTGAGAGCTAGATGCTCAAGACCCTTATGTCTATTCAGGTGTCCCAAAAACTGCTTTTGTCGTTTCCTGATTGTTTTCAACATTGAGCGTCCCACGTGGGCTTCATCAAGTACTACCTCATTTGATTTCTTTTCCTTCCATGATACTCTTCGCAATCTTCTAAGAAACCACATTTCTGTTGCTTCCATTGTATTTTCACTGTCTTTAGTGATTGTCCAGCATTGGCCGCCATATAGAAGGGTTGACCAAACATAGCATTTCAGGATTTTCATTTTGGTGTTCATTGAGATGTCTCTATTTTTCATGATTGTAAGCCATATTGTGTTATAAGGTGGCCTAGTGGTTAGGCTCTCGGACTTGCAACCGTAAGGTCGTGGGTTCGAATCCCGTCAGGGGCCCGACGTTGTGTCCTTGGGAAAGGCACTTTGCACAAATTTTCCTCACTTCACCCAGGTGGAAATGGGTACCCAGCTATAGACGGTGAAAGATCTTGTCAGTTTGATAGTGTTTGAGCGCGTGAAATCCGCAGCTTGCACTGTATGCTTCCGCGGAAGCTGAAAATGTTTCTGAGTGGTCTGCTGGGGTAATAATAGTTGTCAAGCACATAGAGCAAGCTCTTGAGCATGGATATGCGCTATATAAATGCAATTATTATTATTATTATTATTATATACCCATTTTGCCTTTTTACTTATTTTTAACAGCTACCTCAGGTACGACTGACGTGAAAGCACTCAAAAGACATGTTAGAAAAAAAAAGATAATGTGTGTGTGGACGACAAGCATTTGTATTATTGTGGTTATCGACGGAAAAAAATATTCTTTTTTCTCGACTGATTTTCTAATACGTTGCAAAACAAGGCAGGTAACCAGAAATGATTTCCCACCTTTATTGAATGGACCTGTTATCTCCCATATACATTTACATATTATGAATAATATTATTACACGTTGTACACAATACATACGATAATAGTGATATAAAAAGTATATTATATATTTCAAATGTATATGTCGTCACTAGGGCGGTCTATGGTGTCTATTCTTCTTGGATGTTAAAGGTCATCATCAGTTAATGAGTGGCGTCGGTGGTCTAGTGGTTAGGCTACCGGACTCGTAATCGTGAGGTAGCGGGTTCGGGGGTACGAGCCACACGCCCGACGTTGTGTCCTTGGGAAAGGCACTTTACACAAATATTCCTCTCTTCACCCAGGTGGGAATGGGTACCCGGCAATAGACAGCGAAAGATCGTGTCAGTATGTTTGTGTTTTAGCGCCTACAAAAACCTGCTTGCATTGAATAATTCCCAAGAAGTTGAGGTTATTTCAGAATGCTCTCGGGTCTGCTGGGGTAAAAGTATAGATTGTGAAGCGCACAGAGATTACTGTTGAGCTAGGATTTTCGCTATATAAATGCTATCTATTATTATTATGATGGACAGACTGTTTATTTTACCTGCGAAGTGCCAGATGTTGAGAGCTGTGTCCGTGAAATGAGCAGCCGTCCTCCCCACACCTTTGTACCCTGGCCTTGACACCACGTGAGTGGCCAGGGGAACCCCACGAGCGACCTCAACGAATGAATTCTTGGCCGAGTCCTTGGTCCCGCTCTCAAAGGTCATGTTGAGCATGATATCACAGGGGGTGATTCCTGTAGGGTAGGAGATGATGGTGATGAAAGAGGGAATAGTAAAAGAAGATAGGACACGGTGAAGAGGAATGATGGAGATGAGAAGAATCGAAAGAAGAGGACAAACTGAAGTGACTAAAAGAAGATGACAATAGGGGGAAGAGGGGGAAATGTATAGAGGGAAAAGGGAACGATTGTGGGAATGCTGGGAAGAAGAGAAGAAGGTGAGAATAGAAGGAAAATGAAAAGAAGATGAGACTCACACATACGTGCGCACGCACAAACACACACACACACACACACACA